ATGTCCAAATTGCCAGGGCCCGTGGTTTGAGAGAAGTCTGTGTCCATGTCCTCATCACTATCATGATCACGCTGTCATCGCTTCCTCACCTGCTTTTGCAGGTTCTGCACATGCTGCAGGATAATGCGCGAGGTGTTTGCAATGCTCGCAACAGCAGCGGTGAGCTGAGAGGGCTCCATGCTTGCCGTGGTGTGGCGTCTGTAGGAGGGCAGAGTTGTAGCGGAAGCGGTGGATGACGATGGATGCCATGAGAATAGATATTTATACAGAACGACCAAGAGGACCTGCCAGGTGGATTCATGGCACCAGGAGAGCAGAGTTGAGGCGGAAGCGGTGGAGGATGACGGTTAGCACCGCGCACATTTCCCAAGGAAGAACACAAGTACCTGGAAGCACATGATAGACAACATGGAGAAATTCGCTACTGAGACAAGAGCAGCAGAGCAGAGTTGAAGCGGAAGTGGTGGATGATGATAACAGTTAGCAGTCCTACTGCACCGTCTGCTGACAGCAGTATGGCATCTGCATGGAAAAAAGGGGCGAAATGATTGTCTGCTGTTGCTTTCACGGAGGGAGGAGCGACTGACGACATGTACCCAAAACCACCTGCAACAATGTTTTTGCCCCATCAGGCATTGGGAGCTCAACCCAGAATTCCAATGGGCAGCGGAGACTGCGGGAACTGTGGGATAGCTACCCACAGTGCAACGCTCCGAAAGTCTACGCTAGCCATGGTACTGTGGACGCACTCTGCCAACTTGCGCTTAGTGTGGACATATGCAATTGACTGTATAAAATTAATTTCTAAAAATCAAATTCTATAAGATCGACCTAATTTCGTAGTGTAGACATATCCTAAGTCTACAAAGGACAGCTTCATAGATGAGTTTGTCACCTCTGTGAAGATAAGCAACTGCCACCTGCTCTGAGCCTCAGGTTCACACTTCCTTCAGAACCTGGTCTCCCAGATTATTTTGCTATTTAAAAAATAAAAAGGAGGGGAAAAAAGCTTGCATAATTAAATGTATCTGGCACAATAATGCAGTACATATGCACTGGGTAAATTATAGTCATTAATACAGACTGTGATTCTCATGTATAAGCATAATGCTGATTTCAGCAAGAATTATGCCTGAATAAAAACTGTGGTAATGGCCAATAATTTCACAGATCATGCACACTGTAGTATAGTATTGCACAGGCCTAATTCACTATTACTGTATAGTACATACTTATGAGAGACATTGCTTATATGTTTTGTGGTACATGTAAATAACGCAGTAATTACAGGATAGACTTTAACTATACATAAGAAATCAAAGGATAATTCTTAAAGGTCAGGATGAATTTTTCAAAACCAACCAACTACTGTTTTTGTTGTTTATTATGAAACAGTTATAAAACATCAGCTAGCTGGTGCAGGCCAAAATGAACAAGAATATTCAATAATAGTAACAATACCTCGCTTTTACATTGTGCTTTTCATCCGTAGATCTCAAAGCACTTTAAAAAAGGGGTAAGCATCATCTCCATTTTACAGATGGGGAAATTGGTTATTCCTTTGTTTGCGCAATGCAGAACAGTAACCCCAACAATAAGCTAATGCCATATAACTCATAGGGGAATAAATGACAATTAAAAAAATTCTATACCCTAGTAAAATTTCTCAAGCCAGGTACCATTTCCAGACTTGAGCCATGATTAGGGCTGCAAGGTTGTCACGGTGATAAAAATGTCATGGATACTGTGATTTTTCTGTTTGCTCATGAATTTTCTTTATGTCTGTGATTTTAATAGACTCACCGTGCAGTGGCAGCTCCTGCAGCTCCTGTTCCAGCTCCCTGCTCTTGGAAGTGCAACCTGTTGCATGGGATCACACTGCTGCTCAGGTTTGGCCCAGCTGCTCCTCTGTCACAATGGGAGAGAGAGAGATTGGGTAGCTGGGCCAAATTTGAGTGAGTGGTGTTGAGACCTTGAAGATGGAGAGGCAGGATCACTTACTTAAATTGGGCAGCTGGGCTAAACCCAAATGGTGCTGTGACCTTGTGTGCCAGGTTACAATGCCCAGAGCAGGGAGCCAGGCCAACCCTCATGAGATGGGAGCTGCCTCAACCTGCAGGATGCGTGTGGGACACACTCGCTCTCCAGCTCCTCCCTCCTTCAGACATGGGGCCTCCCAACTCCCTGGGGCAGGACCTAACCCCTGTGCATAGGTGCTGGAACTAGTGGTGCTGGGGGTGCTGCTGCACCTCCTGGCTTGAAGTGGTTTCCATTATATACAGGGTTTACAGTTTGGTTCAATGGCTCTCAGCACCCCACTATACAAATTGTTGCAGCACCCCTGCTCCTGTGGTGTCCCCCTCCCCACACTTTAAATGGTGCTCCTGTGATTTTACATCATTTCCCCCTTAAACTTATGACTTTTATTAAATTTACTGTGACTACTGTGTGACTTTTGATTTGAAAAAAATGGCATGACAGATCTGCATGGTCAAGGTCATAGTCCTAGGCATGGTCAAGGATTATGAAAGGTTCTCTTGGTTTAGAGGAAAACTCTGTTATTTTCCAGTAAGCAGTTGCTTCGTCTTAGGGAGGGTATGTGCTGTTTTCTCAACTGATTTGAAACAGGTCAAACTGAAAGCTCAAGCCCTTTGCAGAATTGTAGTTAAGTATGAATATTAAAGGACAAGACTGTTTTCTAAAATCATTCAATCATCCCGTGACTTAACAGACCTTCCATAGGTAATTCTTTGGTTTTCTTTTTTCTGTGGGGAGGAAATTCTTTTGAGAAGCTTAAATGTCACAAAGGCAACAACAGAATAAAAAAACACATTGTGGAGCGACATATACTACAGTAAGCTAAGCAAATCAGCTTATGTTTGTAGAACATATAGATTGTAGGTACGATTCAATGAAACATGAACATTTCACTTAAATAGTACAAAGTCTTTTACCTATGATGAAAATAAACAGGGGGTGAGGAGAAATAAAAGAATGTGTGCACCTGAAAACTCCAGTTAAATCAAATCTCTCTCCTCAACTAGAGCACACCCGAAAAGGGGGGGGAAATGGAAGGTTCTCTTTCCAGAAGTCTCTTCAGCAAAACAAATATTTAGGTTCCAATTACAAATACTGCCTTCCCACCTTCAGAAATGTTAGTTTAATGAAAATGGGGCCAGAAGGGATTTCAGGCAATAATTAAAATATGCTCATTTACACTTTAAAAAAAACCACAAAGAGCAGATTTCTTTGTTTTTTCCATATAACATTAGGAATGAATGACTATTACAACGTTATTACAGTGGTCACACTTCCCTTTGGAAAAGTTCTACTGTTTGAGATCTAAGATCATATCCTCTGCCTAGATATATTGGCATAGCTCCATTGATAATGGCTCAGTGGAAAAGCTGACCTGTGTTCCCTATACTATTCTTAAAATGTGGGTGAGGGGATCCAGCAGAATTGATGATAGCTCTCAAATCAGTAGAGACTTAAGTGCACCCACTGTAAATGCGTTTCTAAACACTTGGACTTGTATTCAAGTTATTATAGATATCAGTGAAACCTCATGAATTTATACTAATTGAAGTTATGGTCCTAAGTCTACCTATGTCTTTGAAAACCACCTAGTGCAAAAGGACCCAGATCTTGCTTGGGGGATTTGAATACTATAGTAGTATTGATAACAATAAGGTCATCATATGTGGAAATACAATCCCCATTGGCTAAAATATGAAAAAAACTTAATTCTGACATTAAAACTAAGGATGGAAATAGCATTGCATTCCCTTTCCACCAAGGATTAGGGATTTATATGGTAAATAATTACAGGCTGAAAGATTATTTGTTCTGAAATGTTCAGTATAAAAAGAAAAAAAAAGGAGCTGGCTTTGAGAGATTTTTGAGAGATTCTACTGTCAATACAGAAGAAGGAAGAGCACAAAGGTCTGCTATAGTCAGGCCTTACTGCAAACACTTTAGCTGCAAGTGTAAAATGGCTAATTGAGCTGCTCCAGGCAACAGTAGAGTTTATTTGATTTATTTTACTGTGTGGTATATTATTACCTGCAGTTCCTCGATTATCAGAGAAAGTGCTAAAACATTTCAGCCTCTGTGAAAAGGGGGTTTGTTTGATGAAAGCTACAGGGTTGATAGTTGAAGGCTCTGTTCCGCATTAGGGATGTAAATCCCGAGTTTGGTGAAAATTAGAATTGTGAATAATGTCTGTGAAGGTTATTTTATTCATTTATTTTTGCTGAGGATTTAGTCTTTTATCTGTTGCCATTTATCTTCTAGAGATTCTTTAGAATGGTGGCCATTAACCCTGAAACAGGAAAACTGAAAAGGTCTGGTATTAACCAACTCTTATGGATGGAGATTGCAGTCATTTCCCTCACCCTCCCCTGTCCCCCCCCTCCCTGCTGCTGTCTCTATGCAAGCGTGCATATGTGCATACACACACACACACACACACATTCACTAGTGTTCGTACACTAGTTCCAATCTGGAGTAATTCCACTGAAGTCAGTGATTGTCTACACTGGTGATAAGTGGAGTTTTCAGTCAAGTTAAACTAGCTTGATTGAATAACTTGATTGGATGAAAAAAAGCACCTTTGTTCCTACCCTAGACAAGGCTTAAATAACACAGTCTAGCCCATGTTCTCTACTGAAATGATTTTTGGGAGCTGCTGGATTGTCTTCTGGAACACATTGCATCTCAGGGCTCATCTACACACAGAGTTGTAACAGTTTAAATTAAGAAGTGATTTTAGAAAGAAGTTTAAGTTAAGCTGAAATAACCACTCTGAAACCAAAATAAGTGCCCACCTGGGGGTTTGTACCAGTTTAAGTAAAAAGGTGCAAATTTGTGTTTAGACAAGGTCTCAGTCAGCAACCAAATTTTTGGTGCTGCAAAGATGTCTGGTAAGAATCTCGCTGCATGCTATCAAACTGAATTTATAAGTCTTATCCACTAAAAGGTGAAGACCAACAGGAAGATTAAATGGGAAAATATTTATTTCCTGTCAATGTAATTTACAAAGAAATACAAAAAATAAGAAGTTTGTACAGAAAAAAAGTATATATCACACCCATGAAAATATAATACAGGAATTTAGAGTTATAATAATAATTTGTTTAAATTAGAGCTATTAAATAAGGACAGGAAAATATAATCTTCTTGCTTACAATATAAGACCTTTCCAGAAACTTCAGGATGCCATTTAATTTCACATTTCCAGAAACAAATCTTTGAATTGTTTATATTCCATTTTTGTGATGGACCATTTTGATACCTTCTTGTCAGTCCCACCTTCCAAAGATATTTACATTAGGAATGTGGAAGGGAAAAAAAAATCAGTCAACCAGATCTTACAAAGGAACTGATACTCGTACATGAACATCGAAGAGAGAATCCTTTTAGCTATATGTATTTTAAAATGATCCAACCATTTTTCACCAGAAAGGTGAAAATTTTTGTATGTGGTCTAAACTGTTCAACCACAGATGAAGTATATGTTCTGCCTGCTTAGAAACTGACAGCTACTGATGCCAGCTCTTACCACTTACAGCAGCTTGGAAAATATCAGCTGTTTTAAAATTTAAGTATATAATATATAATTAGTTACCCCATCCGGGTCTTTTACATACATCTGGCAACAACATAATTTTCTACCATCAGTAAGGCCAATTTTTACACAGGAAATACTTAGGGCCAACCAAATCTCTCCCAGGCAACTGGCAAAGAGCCAGCTACAATTGCAGCCACTCCACTTCGCTGAGGCATACAAAAGGAGTGTAGAGGGGACTAGTGGTTTTAGCTATCCACATAGGCACATGCATTCTACACCCTCATAAGGGGCAGCTGAGCAGTCATGCTTCCTCTCTGCATCCTCCAGTCCAGAGCATACTGTACTGGCCACAGAACAAAATTGCAGCTATGCCACAATTTAGCCCTAAGATGGTTTTCATCTAAGAAGAGCCTTAGTGAATTACAGTACAGTGATGCTATAATTAGAAGTCTTCAAAATGCAATTTTTAAAGGAATCCATACTCAGGTGGCAATTGTTAAATAGGTATCACAGAGGTGTTTCTCTGTTCTACTGGCCTCTAATTAGAATGTGCATGACTGGGGTTAAGAGGAGGGATGTTTGCCTTGTTTTCATCATCCTGCTCAGTAAGTGTCAGAAAATATGAAACTGTGTGAATTTTTTCTCCCACTTTGGACGTTTGTTTCTGTTTTGGGAGAAGGCTAAGTCCTAAGATGATTGGTGGTGGATGTAGCATCAGAACCTAAAAAGACTAAGGTCCTGATTCAGTAAAGCAAATAAACACATTCTTAAGTTTCAGCTTGACTGGTTTAGGGCCTTTGTTAACAACTGGGCTGTGACTAGGTATGGGGTGGGAAATAACTAAATATACTGTATTTATTGTTAATTATATGATCAAGGTTTGATTAGACCAAGCCTTGTTAAACTGTTCATATTGTAAGGGGGTGGGGGTGGACATAAACAAGCCTTTCCCACAATACTTGTACCTTGGCCACAGGGAGGGCAATAGGAGTCTAATGCTGTTGCTGCCGCTAGGCTCCCACAGGCAATGCTAGACCCCTTTGGGGTCATGTGGCCTTTGTGGGAGTGGCTCATGCTGTACTCTTTCAAAAGGTGGTGCACAGGTTGGAGACTTTGTGGCAGTGGGATGTTCACTGTGCATCAAAGGGATAATTTAGCTCTTTAATTGTGGTTGGCGATATTAATACAATATTAGGAAAAGAGAGCCTGCGGCTAATGGACAATTCAGTCATGGATTCAGCTGGGCAACTCTGGAACTTATCCGTCACTTGATCAGGGATGTTAGAGTTAGTACGGTATAATCCTAACTCCTCAATCTGGGCATTTTGCTATCTCCAAAGATTCTATGTTGGGACCTACTTGTATATACAAGAGGATAGAGTTTCCTTGTTTATGCCAGGGGGTCATACTCCACTGCATGTTGGGTCCCCTCAGATGCAGGGTGGCTCGTTGTGTTGAGTGAGCATTGGAGCAACGATATAGATAGCTCACGCTCTGTGCTAGGCAGGCTGGGTTTACAGGTGCAGTGCTATTGTTGTATTGTAAGTATTAAAGTAAATTGAAGTGATAGGATTTCTTTAAAAATGTTCTTCCTATTAAAGCTGCAACCACTTAACTAACTCCAAAGTTGAGAGATGTGGAAATAATAGGCCTCACCCAGAGTGTTAATATTGCTACATTGTTAGGAAAGATTCTTAATCCCAGTTTCTTAGATGTATAATCACACATCTGAGCATTTTAAAGCAGGGACTAATATATGAACAGTTAACATTTACAACAAACATCTGATGCTTAGAACTACATTCACTCTCTGTTACAGCAGGTTGACGGTTTGGGTCTGACTCTGCAAATTCTTATGCTCTGCAGTGGGATATAATTTCTCCAGGAGTAAGGGTGCAGAGTCAGTTTCCCCTTTACTAAAACATGGCTTTAAAGTACATATAGTTAATTCAGCATATAGTATAAGTGCAAGTATTGTGTTATGAACAGGCAAGTGAGCGTACACAGTCAAACATTGCTTTAGATATTCAGCTATTTGGATGGACAGTGGTAGCAATTTGTTTTGCTTTTCAATCTATTTTGGATTTGACTCCATTAGCACTTTTATAAAAAAATCAAACGCACTCCCATGCTACTAACCTAAGCAAATTAAACCTATATTTTAAGGTACAATTTGTTTGTACCAAAATGTACAGCCTTTTCTAGCAATACTCAGTTAACAAAAATAGGCCAAATACATACAAATCAGATACTCTTTACCTCTGGCTTTTCCCTTCCGTCTTACCATTTTGTATTCAATCCTCTGTTTCAGTCACTTTGCTCCTTCTTGGACAGTACAGAATATGTCCATGCACATATGGCACATCATGGGGAAATCATGTGGCTTATTTCTATCTTCTTTCTAATCAAAAAATCCTCAAGCAAGAGACAGCTTCTTAAAGGGCACATCTTCCTCTCATAAAGGTCAATGACAAATCTACCATTGACTTCAGTGGAAACAAGATTTGTCCCAGAATTATTTACTAACAGATACTATATGTAGGGCTACTGATTAGCTATATATATATATATATATAAAGTATTACAAAATACAGATATATGTATGGAAAGGATGCTAAAAGCCTTATATCTTAGATATGAGCAGTTGTTTAATATATTTTGTTCAAAGTAAAAAATGAGATCTTTTATACCTACATCCCCATTATTCAGTCTCTACAAAAGAATTTAAATAATCATGTATCTGATTTTGGTTTCATGTGTTCAAGGAAGCAAACATACTAATGATTTCAATCAGCTTTCCAATTCCTCCTCTTTTCCTCCTACATTGTGTACATCACAGCAACACTGGTTCATGGTTTAATTTGTTTTCTAGATAGGTGGCTGTCAAACAACTAGATACATCCTGATTTTTTTTCATAGCAAATTAGTTGTTATATTTTTGGCTATCATGGGCCAAAATTCAGTATAATGTAAACAGGAGCCATTCCACTGAAACCACAAAAGTAGTAAATTACTATTAAAATTAGAGTCAATGGAACAAAGTTCAACCACTTACATCATTTGGCCCCTTGATACAAAGGGCAAGGGTCTGTAAAACGTACATTGTAGAGTACCTTAACTCTGAAGAGACCTGTTGATTTCAATGAGACTCCTCAGAGTTAGGTACTACTTAGGGTGAGTAAGGGTCGTAAAGTCTAGCCCAATGAAAACTAGAAGAAAATGAAAATAGTTAAAGCTTTGTGTACGTTTTTATAATATTATTTTAAGGACTACAATACAGTGTGCTACCTAGTAATTAACTCTAAATTGTTTTGGGAAACAAGCTGTATGAAAGACAAGAGGTTCAAAATAAGGGCCCTATCCTGTGAGCTGCTGACTAACGCTGTGTCTACACTGCCATGCCAAAATATGACTGCAGTTCATGTAGACATAACCACACTAGTTTTAATCTAGCTAACTCAGGTATCAGAGCCGTGACCCTGCGTAATTACTCATGTAGTTAACCCATGCTGAAGCTCACGTAGAAAGCTAGCTCAGATATGACTACACAAGTTATAGTCATGCTCCATGACTGCAGTGTAGATGTGCCCAGTGAGTTGAGGATTTATTGCCCCTCACAGGATTGGGCCCAAATGTTATAGTTGATTCTCTAATGCCAATCTTTAAAAGCAAATTTTACAGAACACTAACATTTTATGCCTTTGAAAGGACAAAGCAAAAAGCAGCCCAAAATTAGGGGGGAAGAACCCTCCGCTAAACAATGGGCCCAGACTTGCTCTCAGTGATGTCAATGGAAGTTTTGTTACTGACCTCAAAGGGAGTTGAACTGCTTGAATAAAGAGTGCAGGATCCCAAACATGCAATACATGATTGGACAAATCTGCTCACCTTATTTTCATGAGCAATCCCATGGATTTAATTATAAGAAAAGTGAGGAGGATTTCCACCCTCCCCATTTAGTTACATGTTTAAAATGGTAAGAGGTAAACAGATTTTCTGTGCCTGGCCATAAACATTTACTATACAAAATGATTAAGATAACATACACACACTCTGGAATATTCTGGCTTGTGTAACTTCATTTATTCCTTTACAAACTGAATGCTTAGAGGATGGAAAGAGGTTTGATAAGGGCTGTTTGGAGGCACACTGACTGCAGTTCTGTTCCCTGATATTCAAATTTACACCCAGCTCTATATATTTAAGGTACTGATTCTTATAAGCACACTGATTGAAAAGACAGTATCATCTACAGCAAACATGTTCTCCCCACAACTGATATCTGGAAAACACATAGCAAAGTGTTCCCCACCTTCACGTTAACACTTGGGGTATGTCTTCACTGCAAAGTTAACTCGGATGATGCCCGCCCAGGTCTGAGCCGCCAGGTTAGCCTAGCTCAGGTGCGAGCAGCCGCCCTCAAAAGCCAGGCCTGAGTTACTGGGTACATCTACACTGCAGTGAGGTAGTGAGTCTCAGAGCCCATGTCAACTGACTTGGGCTTGTGGGGCTCAGGATATGAGGCTAAAAATAGCAGTATAGACATTCCAGCTGGGGCTGGAGCCTGGGTTCCGAGACCCAGTGAGAGTGGGAGGGCCATAGGGCCAGGCTGCAGCTTGAGTGGGAGCATCTATGCTGTGTGTACACTGTTATTTTTAGCCCCGTAGCACAAGTCTGAGTCAGCTGACCAGGTCTCTGATATTCACTGTCGTGGGGGGTTTTCTCCAGTGTAGACATACCCTCTGTTTCCTCACTGGTGCTGCACTCACCTGTGTGTGTCACTGGGATGGCCGTGGCATATCCCATGTGTGCTGCAGTAAGCTGAGCTGCTTTATGATTCTTACCCAGTGAATTGCGGGAGAACTTGTCTGTCCTGCGCATGGAGGGGAATTGTGGGAAGGCATTAATAGACTACCAGCCCTCGGGTGGGGATTCAGCCTGAGTCCTCATTGCAAAATGGGTGGGTTACTAGCCTCAGTGAAAGCAGCACTTGGCCTTGAGCCTACTGCCCCTGACAAGCCAGCTAGCCTGGGCTGACGGCACCACTCGACTCAGGTGAGAGGTTTTCGTGTGTAGATAGGAAGGGGATTGGGGCAACACCCAGGTAAGAGCCCGAGTTAATTCTGCAGTGAAGATACACTCTTTAATGCTAACCTATGTGCCGTTGTTGCATGTTATCCCAATCACAGAAAGAGTATGTGGACCTGTTCTCGAAGACTACTGATGATGCATTTTTTTGCCACATTTTATTATTTTTTTCCAGGTGATTGCTACAGGCAGGGGTGGTGTTGAGAGATTTAACTGCACAATAGAAATGCAGAAAGCAAACTAAGATGATGGCATGAAAGGTGTATCTGAGAACACCGAGTTGACAGAATCAGAGTCAGATTTTGCTCGGGTCGTTTTCAGGATGCTCTCTGCTATGACAGTTTCTTTGGGAAACAGTCTCACTTTCCCATTCTGCCCCTGTTTTGGCTCGTTCACAGGCTCAAGGAACACCACTCTCTTACCACTGCTGGATTTCTTCTCATCAGCTGGAGGATCCTGAGATGGAGTGGAGTTTAGGATGGATGAATGGGCACTGCTTTGGGGCAGCTTCCTTTTTCTTCTTCTTGTCTTACACTGACAAGGACATGGGGTCAGATAGAGATAAAGCAATACCAAAATAATACTGGCTACACAGGCAGCAAGGGTGGTGAAAGCAGTGTTAAATGCTTCATGAGCATGGGATCTGTTCACTGTGAAATTGCTTACATTAATTCTAACCTCTATGGTTTCATTTAACAGTCTTCTTTTATTTATTGCAATGCATGAATACAGCCCAGAATCCTCCAGCTGGGGATCTATTATCTCTAAACTCCCATTGTGAAACACCTTAAAATTGTCAGTGTCCTTATCTGGCTCCAGTAATCTATTGTCTGGGCTAACCCAGATGAAATATGTGCCTGCATCACTAATTTTGCTGTCACAGTGTACAATCAGCCTTTCTCCAACTTGGGCCTCATGAATAAACCCAAAGGCATGGAATGACACATTGATGGTGCTTTCGGAGCAATTCAGAAAGTTGTCGTGCAATAAAGGCAGTTTATTGGAACCTTTGGGATCAGATCGTAATACACAGGCATACTCATTTTTGAAATCCACGACTGAGTTGAAGTGTCTGTGATACCAATAAATTAGCATGGCGTATAGAGTACAGTCACAGTAAAATGGGTTACCATGAAGATAAATTCCACTGAGTCGTTTGGCCGGCACTAAACTTATACGTTGAATGGGTACGGACTGGATGTGGTTATAGGAAATGTCTAATAATACAAGTTCTGTAAGCTTGTGTTTTCCAATATACAAGTCCAGTGGGAAGTGTGACAGTGAGTTACAACATAAGTACAGCTTCTGCAATTTGTATAATCCTCCAAAGGCAGCAGAATCAATCTGTGTTATCTGATTGTTGTAAAGCAAGAGAACTTCCAGTACTCTCAGCTCTTGAAATAAAGGGCTTCCCAATGTCTTCAGGTTGTTGGATGACAAGTCTAGATACTTTAAATTTGGAGTTGTGGAAAAGCTTCCAGTGATAATACTGCTAATACTGTTATGATTGATTATTAAAGTGTTCAGTTTGTCAAAAAGCACTGGGACCCATTCAGGTTCCAAAAATGCAATTCTGTTATAACTCAGATCCAGTCTTTTTATGAATTTGAAGAGAGTTCCTGGCACCCTAGAGAGGTTCTTATTGGTGCAGCTTACAATGTCACTAGCACAGATGCAGGCTGTAGGACACAACCCGGAGGCATTGCCACATACACTTATTGTAAAGACCGAAAGGAATAGCAGTCCTTTGCAGTTCAGTTTAAGAACACCAAGTCGAGTAGAAATTGTCTGGCAGCTTAAAGACATTATGGCTATCTCTTAGCAGTCTCCCAGTTCTCCTTGCCACAGATTATATATGTAGTTAGCCTTGTACTAATCACTGTTAAAAGAGGAATATAGAAGTACAGAATGTTAACACATAATGTTCACACCCCATTTGGTTTCCTATGCAGACCACCTGAACAAATGCAGCATTTTTAGTGACTGAATCCCTTCCATTTCACGTTTAGTTTTCAAATCCATTATTTTCTAGGCCATGATTTGTCAACTTTTTTTTGGCATCTGTTAGATTTTGAACCCACCTGCAAATTCTCATATTACAGACCTATCATTTTTCGCTCCCTCTTCAAAAAGTACAACCTGTTCTCAGCCTCCTAGCTCAGTACATGCAACTTCTGACAGCTCAGAGAGAATATTGTAAGAAATGGCAAGGCAAGTATGCAATTTCTGAAGTATTTCACTGTCATCCATGTTCCCAGTCCTGGTCCAGAGATGCAGTTTCTGATGCAAGAAAAAGAAATGGCTTGCTCCACACCAGTACTCGTCTCTTCTCTAGTGGGGAGCAGTTTTTGATGGGTGTGTCTTCCCAATCAGGAAATGTTACCCACTTCCAAACCAATAATTTTCTAATCACTATTTAGCTTTAAACATCAAGAGAACTTCATCTGTTGTTGTTTTAATAAGTTACTCCATACAGTGCAGGGAGCAACACTTGTAGTTAAGATTGCCCAATACTTTCCATTATAAGCACCTGTTTTCAGTTTGCCACACTAACCGTTCAGGCTGAAATGTTCAATGTGAGGTATCTGCCTCAGGTTGCTTTTTTTTTTTTTTGGTAAGTTTCAGCTAAAATGGTTCTGCTTTTTCTCAGAATTTGGTTAGGGGAAAAATAAGATGTTTTGCTCATGTTAAAAAAACCTGACTACTATTTTATTACTATTTTATTGAGACGTTCTAGCACCTCCATGCTAGAGAAAGTAGCAGCAGGGAAAGGACAGGGGTAGGAGCTATGAAGGAGGGAATGGAGGGGTGGTGAGGGAGAGACTTTGGAGGACAGAGGCAGAGGGTCTGCAACTACCAGAGCACAATCCACTACAGAACTTGGAACTGAACCCATTATTCGCAAGTCTCAACATTCTTTTGCTGTCTGGCAAATTGCTGTGAAACTGTGTCTGTGTTCTTCCTCCGTTCCCCTGTGTGGTGTCCTCTGTTTCCCCATGGCAGGTAAACACAGAAGATAACAACCTTCTATTGCTACCGTTACTGTTTTAGCTCAAGTGGTAGAGATCTCTGCTGTGTATCTGAAGATCCTAGCCCTGCTGGTGCCCATATGGGGAAGGGGAGGAGTGTCAGTATTTCTACAGGATAAAAATTTGTTTCTATTTTAAAGTTTGTAAAACCTTAGAAAATTACACCCCAAAAAACTATGTTAAAAGAACATTAAGGTTGCAAAGTCAAGCCTTTAAAAGCTGGGAAGTGCCAGAAGTAACACTGGCTGTGCAATCTTAATTTATCCACTTTGTGCATATGCATTATGATAGTGCTTAATTACATGATCACATACCACTTTTTTTTTTTCACAAGACCTCTACCTCATTCATTACACGAGATGGAGTGAGTGAATCAGGGTTGTGCTGGGAAGGAGGCTATTGCCTCCAAGAGCCCTGCCTCCTCCGTTTCAGAAGTTGGCAGGTGTGCAGTGAATGAGGCATGAGACGGCAGGAAAAGAAAGAATGGCCTCATTGTTAAGGCAGTTAAATGTTGTCCTGGAAAATTAGATTCTATTCTTGTCTCTGCCACAGAGTACCTATGATGTCAGGCAAGTTATGTAAACCAAAATGTGTACAGGTGGCCACTGTGTGTTCCTCATTTTCTGGATACCAAGGTGGGGTCGGATTTGCAGGAGTGCTGAGCACTGCTCTAGACATATAAACTACTACCGAATACTGAGTAGTCTGAAAAACCAGGCCTCAGTTTTCTCAAATTGGACACCCAAGATCAGTGGACACTTCTGACACTCCCTCAGTCACCTATATGTAAAATGGAGATGATAAATACAACCCGCACCTCAGAGGGGCGTTGTGAAGATAAATTCACCAGTCTTTGTAAAAAACTGTGATACCATAACCAGAGCACCATACAAAAGGCCATAAGGAAATAAATGATTTTGTATTCAGTATAGGGTTTGGATGGTTGTGGAGTAAATAATGCATGAGGCCACACATTGAAAGATGAGGATAAAAAGAAATATTCAGCAGCTTCTCATTAAGTGAGCACCATCCATAATGTGCATCATAGGAGTCAGGAATGCTGTAGAAAAATAGTATGTGATCATGTAATTAAAGACCATAATGCTGCAATGGATTGCATTTCCTAACTTTTGAGTGGTTGGTTTTGCAACCTTTGCAGTCTTAACTCTCTCCTAACATAGTGGGTTTTTTAGTGTGATACCATTGGAGAATACCACTTTTAAAAAGAATTCCCATCTGGAATACAACTGAGATATTCTAAATTGGATGCAATTTATTCTGTTTAGGAAGGGTGAACAATAAGATACATAGGCTTCTATGTATGCTTCCATCCCTATCCACCGCTATTTCACCAGACAATTTTAATTTCAGCGCTAAAATATTTTGTAAGGGATATTGCTACATGGGAAATATTATTCGCTAATATTTGTCATTGACCATAGAATATTTTGGTAATGTACACATAACTGCTTCACAATAAAGTTTAGGAATGTAATTTAGTAGAAAACATTTAACAAGATATTTTTTATGGTAAAAATGAAGGATGCATGTGGACTTGCATTAGAGAATAACCAAAATGTTGTGTTAAAAGTGTCTTGTGTTTATATTTTGAGTTTATTTATTTAAAATTATAGTATTTATAGAGATAAGGTGGCTGTGTCATGATGAAATACACATTTCTGTATACTTGATAGGAATTATGGGCCAGATCCTCAGGTGGCACGAACAGCCCCTTTGATTTCAGTGGAGCTATTTACAGACGTTGGGGATCTGGCTCGGTCTTAGATTTTTGGTCTGGTTTTTAGATGTAAGGGGTGCTCAGCACCTCTGAAGATCAGGCCATGTATGTCATCAGTGTAAGATTTAAGATGTCCTTAACTAGTTAATTGCATGAACCTTGACACCACTTTATCTCCTCATATGAATGTCTCCATGCCTTCTTCTCTGCTTCCTCCCAGCCTAGAAAAAAATCTCTCAAATTACGCACACCACCTCTCTTGGCTCACTCAAGTCCTCCTTAAAAACTCACTTTTGCCACTGAGAGGTGAATTATTTAAAATTAAACGTAAGTGTCTGTTCACTAAAAAGTGTGCACAAAATGAGCTGCCACATATCATCTCAAACTTCTCCTCACCTCATCTCTGTTCTCTCTCCTTTAAACATGATTGTCTAGACAAATAAGTAGGCAGCTGGCATGCTATGGCTGCTGCTTTAAATGTTGGCCAGAATTGTTGGATAGTCTCCATATACTCCCCATCTGTTTGCTGCATTCACCTGTTGTCTCTTGTTTTATACTTTGACTGTAATCTCTTCCGGGCAGGCGCTGTCTTTGTTATGTATTTGTACAGTGCCCCATACAGTAGGGCTTAGATCTATGACTGGGGTCCCAAAGTGCTAACCACAGTATAAATAATAATCATAAATCCTAGATTGAAAAATCTAGGCAGGGGGATTGTGTCTACCTAGCTGTTGTGTGAAGAGCTGAGTGCATCTTTGGGCATGGTACAAACAATAATATTGCTCTTTCCCTTGCTTGTAAGTGCTTGTGTTTTGTCAGTGAAGGGATGAGGAACCATGTTAGAACTTCGTAATTTTAACTGGTCAGGAAACCAAGTTTTCTAACTGTTTTTTTTCCCTTTGTTTTTTTAAACTGGTATAAGTAAATGGAGATTCAGGATAAAATTTTCAAAAGCACACAAGGAACTTAGGAGGCAAGTCCTATTTTTCAAAATCAATTTTAAAATCAGTAGGCTGTAAAGTCATTTGGGTCCTTTTGAAGATTTGTATTATCTAGTCTTTTAAATATTAAAATTGATTATAAGCTCTTTGGGGCAGGTACTGCATCTTCCTATGTATTTGTACAGCACCTAGCACAATGGGGCTCTAATTATGACTGGAACATTTAGCATTACTATAATTCTAAATAATTACACACACAAAAATTACATGCAAGGACCATTATTATGGTTGCAGAGTTAAACACTCAAAAGTTAGAAAATGCCAGAATTCAAGTTGCCTGTGCCAGTCCCAGTCTTTCCTCCCCTCCTGCTCCCAGTTCTATTCTTCTTGCCCACCATTCCCAGTTCCATCCCCTTGCCCCCAGTCTCCTTGCCCACCACATCCTAGTTCCACCCCTCCTGGCTCCTCACCCTATCTGTCTCTCTCTCCCACTCCACCCCTGGCCTCCAATCATCCCTGTCCCCCACCCATGTTCCCTTTCCTTACTGGCTCCCAGTCCCTCTCCCTTGGCATCTCATCTGTGTCTGTGACTCCCAACCTAATCCCACCTGTCAGGACCGTTTCTAGGCACCAGCAAAGCAAGCACGTGTTTGGGGCAGCACAATTCCAGGGGCGGCATTCCGGCCACCCTTTTTTTTTTTTTGCTTGGGCAGTTGCGCTCTTGGCGCTTGGGGCGGCAAATTTTTTTTTGTGGCAGCCAAAAACCTAGAGCTGGCCCTGTCACCTGTACCAGTATTTAAGTATAATCGTATCTGAAATGAAATGCTGCTGGGAAGGCTAAAGTATTAACATTAGGATCTTCCTTGTATTCCTTTTTGGATTAAATTTAACAAGCCTTTTCTCACAGACAAGATATAATGATTTGTTTATTGAAAATAGACCAGTATTATTTTAAAATAAGCCTACTTATATAACGTACAAATATTCTTTTAAAATCCTAACTGCATAGTGTTAGAGCCATTTATTAGGAATAGTCCATTTAGATGAACAAAAATATTTAAGACCCAGTTTTTGCAAAGGTTCCACATTGGTCCTCTTGAGGAATCAAGCCCCAAATGTTTTGACTAATCTTAGAAAATTGATCATTCTGTATGGAGGGCTCCAGCCCTGTGTAATGTCACATACACTTTCATTCATGGGGGATACTGGTCATGGGGAAACTTCTGGGGTTTCTGCCAGGAGCCTCATAGCTCCCTTTTCTCCAGTTCCATGCTTCTGTTCTGCCTTTGATGGAGCACTGCAGGTAACTTTTGTTCGTTTCTTTCTTTCACACTGATTATGTTAGGATTTTTTTTTTTTTAAACAAGACTGTTTTGGAATGTTAACCTTTTGGGGTGGGAAAGACACTAACTGACTCAGATCTCCAGTGAGCAGCTGCACTCAGCAGCTCCGATAGAGCAGAGCTGGATTATCCAGGCATCGTGTACACCTGTGCAAGTGACATGATGGGGCAATGAGGGGAGACTGGTACTGAACTATAGAATGGCTGATTCCTACTGGTCTACATGCTTGAACTGGATTGAACTGCACTTGCAGGACCCATTGGGGTGGTAAAAATAGCTTTACATCACCTTTTCATCAAGCTGATCCTGGGCTCAGTTTGGTGACCGGTTCGGCTCCTAGTGCAGCCTCAAGCCAGCGCCTAGCTGCAATGACCCTCAAGATGTGGTGGCAGAGAGTCAGCTGTAGCAAGAGTGACACTAAGCAGACTTAAGCTTTGTCTTCACAGCTTAAAAAAAAAAAAAAAAAAAAGGCTTAGGTAACTAACATGGCTGAGCGATCCCACTGTGTGACAATGGAGACAATGCACTTTAGTTCTACCTGAAGGTAGCTGGCAAGGTGAGCACTATTTTACCTCACAGCAAAACTAAAGTGCCTTGTCGCCACTGTGTTTTACTGAGGGATAGCTCACATGCACTAGTTACTCCATGGTACAAATGCCGTTTTAGTGAAGACAAGGCTTTAGTGTGGCTGAAGATCTGGCCCATCAAGACAGCCACCTCATAGACCTCATTGGAGTTAGACTAGGGATGAATTTGGCCCAACAGTCTTACGCAGAGTGCCGCCTCATGCATAGCAACAGATCACAAAGGGACTAAGTAAAGCCATCTTTTCTCCATTTGTATGCATACTGCTTGCAGTGTCATTTAAGACTGAGAGTTTCCCCAAGACATGCTTTTTCTACTAAAGATAGCTCATGTACGCCAAATGAGCTAACTGCCTAAGAGATGGGTGAACAAAAGGGTGGGGTTGCGAGAGCCTGGATTGGGTTAGATACAGAAACACCATCAGTATCATGTATAGGAAATCAATCTCTGCAGCTCTTCTCAGTTTACATGGGTGCAAAAAATGCTGATGCCCAAGGCTGCCTGTAGTACAGACCCTGCTTCTATGGCCTTAATTGCCAAGCAGATCATCAGATTAATGGAAACATGCCTTTTCCCATGGTAAAACTGCAGCCCACTGGTAGTGGTGTCAGATTTCGGTCAGTCTCCAAGCAGTGACATTTTCTGTAAAATATAGCCCAGTTTAGGATTCGCAGTGTCTGCACAGGCTTTTCTGATCATTTAAACTGAACTTTAGGAAAAATGTTCATTATTATTCAAACATCTGTTTTTAACAAGCCTTTTTTTAAACTGCAGAGCTCTTTTATGTGGTGTCTCTTTAACATCCTCCTACAGCTAAACTTTACTATGTAACCAAGCCCTAAACGTGCTCTGGGAAAGGGGCAGTATCAGGACTGGGAGGGGTGATTTGAACTGACAGGATCTCCTGCTCTGTAACAGGCTCAGCTCACAATATGAAAAATGCATAGATTACTGATTCTCAAAATAGCATTGTTTAATTTCCTTGTTAGCTGTCACTTCTGTTACTTAAAGGTCAAAGCATAGTTAAATATTTATTTTAGGAGGTTTTTTAAATCATTTACTGTGGAGGGGTTTAGGAGGAAAATGGTTACCCCCATGCACATACTCAAAGTTTTACAATTAACATCTCTTATGAAACTAACAGATTCCCCATGGCATATAAAGAGGTGGTGGCTTTAAACCTCACTGAAGAGTGAGGCGTGATTACCACAGTTTAGATTTAGGAAGATCCTTCATGTTGAACTTTTCCACTCCCGGGGGGGGGGACCCCCTCTTTCTCCTCCTCTATCTTTTGCTCTCCTTTAGGGAATACTATTTATTTTTCTCACTGTGCAGTGATGCTTAAATCTACCACAGTCTAAGGACTCTCCCCTCCTTTCCCTTCATCTCTACCTTATTTTGTAACCCCTCTCTTCCCGGAGGGGTAATGGGGAAACCAAACTGTTCATGGTCCCCCTGTAGCGCCGGTACCCACTTTGCCCTCCATGCGTGTTCTCTGCTCCTTCCCCTATTTTTGCTCCTCTTCTCCATCCCCCTCGCCTCATTTTTGCGTCTCTGCCCCTTCCTCTCCCATTCTTTTTTCCCCTTTCTCTCTCATCCCCCCCCCCCCCACTGTTGCTTCTCTGCCCCCCTTCGTTCATAGCCGTGGCTTTGCCCGGGGCAAGGATTCTGCTGGCAGGGAAGGGCAGCGCCTTCCTTGTTATCGGGCGGGCTCATGGCTCTGGGGCGGGCTCCTGTAGAGGGCGCGAACCCAGGCGCTGCTCCGGGGCTGCCTGCTAACTCCAGCCCTGCCCAGCAGGAGCAATGCACCCGGATCCACCCGGGTTGCCGTCGCCTTCATGCCTCTGCCCGCAGAAGCCGCCCGGTGCCGGGGCACGGCCAGGGCCCGAAAGTTCCCATTTACCCCGCCACAAAGGGCATCTGGAGAGGACCGCCAGAGGCTGCCCTGGGCAGGGCACGAGTCGGATTACCTGGGGGTCCCGGCAGCCGCCTGGGAAGGAGCAGCAGCCGCTCGTTCATCGCAGGGGGCAGGGCGGAGCCGGCGGCCTGGGGAGCGCTGGCCCTTGCCCCGCGGCGGCGTCCAGCCCTGCGTGCTCCTTGCCCCGAGCCTGCTCCAACTTTGCGGGCGGCCGGAGCCGGAACGGGAGCCGGGCGCTGTGGTCGCTCGGCGAGCCCCTCTTCGCTTCGCCGCGGGCGCCCGCCTTCATCTGCACCGCAGGGACGAACAAATGCGGAGCCAGCCGCCGCCTCCGCCCCCCCGGCAGCGGGATTGGTTAGAGCAGCGGGGGGAGGGGGAGAGGGGGCTGCTCCACCGCGGGGGGAGGTCGGCGAGAGGGGCGCGGGGTGCCGGCGGGAGCCACGAGGCTGTGGCTGAAGTGGCAGGGAGGAGTTTCGCGCTGCCGCGGTGATGGGGTTTTTATTCTCCTTTCCCCGCCTCCCTCATCCCGGAGCCGATCCGGTGCCCGATCCCACTGCAGTCAGTAGCACAGCTGCGAATCGGGCCCTTGGTTTCCACTGGAGGAGCGGGAGCTCCTCCTCCTTTGAGCAGCGAGCGGGGCTGTGGTATAGCGGGGCGGGGGCAGGCATCAGGGGACCGGTGTAGCCGGAGCTCCCGGCAGAGATTTCACAGGGCAGAGCCGGGGACGTTTCCAGTCCGGAGCGAAGTTGCACGTGAACAGGGGAAGGCGGCTGGGGGCGGAGTGGGGCGTGGGGTGGCTCCTGGGCACGTGGGCTCGGAACAGGAGTGCTGAGACTAGCGCCCCCGTTAAGGGGTGTCGGGGACGGGAGTGAACGGGGCAGTTTAAACGCGGACAGCGGCCCGATCCTGCAGCCCATGGCTCCCCTGAATGAACTAGTCCCGGGATTAGACATTGCAGCATCGCTCTAGCCTAGCCACACGCGGAGGGAGGCGTCGCAGCTCCCGCCTTCTCCTGCTGGCTCGCTAGATTCAGAACCTGCCTTAATGCAGCTGCATCTTGTTGGCCGCGGTGGAGCTGCTCGCCAGCCACTCTCAGCCTGCGCCCTGTGCACTGGCAGGGGCTTCCCCAGGCTCTGGGGATAAGTTCCTTGAAGCCGCAGCAGTAGCTGTACAAGGCATCCGATGAAGTGAGCTGTAGCTCACCAAAGCTTATGCTCAAATAAATTGGTTAGTCTCTAAGGTGCCACAAGTCCTCCTTTTTCCGAATACAGACTAACAGGGCTGCTACTCTGAAAGGCAGCTAGAGTGATCAGAGAGCAAGTGTGAAAAAGCAGGAGAGTGGGGCCGGGTTATTGGGGGACTAATAGGTTGCTATATAAAACAAAAGCCCTAACAATCAGGACAGTCCTGATAAAATGGGGACATCCGGTCACCCTAAAGCAGTGGTTTTCAAACTTCTTGGGCTGCTTACCCCTTTCCAAATAATGTAATTTACTGCATACCCCCATCTGAGACAGGCAAAGGTGGGGGGGGGGTGGGGAAAGGCTCATGGGGTCACCTGCTACTCCCAGATTTCTGCCCTCTGTTTAGCAACAGCTTCTCAAGGTTTGCAAACTGTGGGGCAGGCCCCCTCTATGGGGGCATGGAGGAAGGGGGGGCAGTGGTGATGCCAGGTGACTCAGGCTTGCCCCCTGCAGCAGGGCTCCAGGAGGGAGGGGGTGCCACCTTCAGCCCTTGACTCACCTCAGCAGACCACCCAGCCTGTCTGGGGAGGGGCACAACCGAAATGATAACTCAAAGGGGGCATGGGGCTGGCCTGAGCCTTGCCACCCAGGGCTGGCCCAAGCTGCCTGGCATCACCACTCACCCCACCAAACTTTCCTCGATGCCCCCTTAAAGGGGGTGCTCTCCACAGTTTGAAAACCTCTGTACTAAATAAAATGCATTGTCTGCCATTCCAGGATTTTTCTTGCGTACCCCCTGACAAGTGCTCATGTACGCCTAACGGTACGTGTACCCCAGCTTGAAAACCACTGTCCTAAAGGCAGCACTGCTGAGTCATCCCCCAAAGCTGTGGCCTCCTTAGAAAGAGGTGACAAATCTGAAGAACTGTCCCAGATTGAGGTGTCAATATAGGAGATTTTGGAACAAATTGATAAATTGATACATTAAACAGTAGTAAGTCACCAGAACCAGATGGTATTTAGCCAAGAGTTCTGAAAGAACTCAGATATGAAACTGCAAAACTGCTGACTGTGGTATGGAACCCATCACTTAAACCAGCCTCTGTACCAGATGACTGGTAGCTAGCTAATGTGATGCTGATTTTTTAAAAAAAGGCTCCACAGGTGATCCTGCAATTACAGGCTCAAAGTCTATATCTTCAGTTCCAGGCAAATTGGTTGAAACTATAGTAAAGAACATAATTTACAGACACACCGATGAACACGATTTGTTGGGAAATAGTCAACATGGTTTTTGTAAAGGGAAGTCATGCCTCGCCAATCTATTATAATTTTTTGTTGGTGTCAACAAATATGTGGACAAGGAGTAAACTGCGAGGTGGCAAAGTTTGCAGGTGATACAAAATCACTCAATATCGTTATGTCCAAAGCAGACTGCTAAGAGTCAAAAAGGGATCTCACAAAACTGGATGACTGGAGAAGAAAATGGCAGATGAAATTCAATGTTGATAAATGCAAAGTAATGCACATTTGAAAACATTATCCCAGCCATACACACAAAATGGCAGGGTCTAAATTAGTTGTTACCACTCAAAAAGAGATGTTGGAGTCATCCTGGATAGTTCTCTGAAAACATCCGCTCAGTATTCAGCAGCTGTCAAAAAAGCTAAGAGAATGTTAGGAACCATTAGGAAAGGGATAGATAATAAGACAGAAAATATCATAACGCCACATAAATCCATGGCATGCCTACATCTGAATCCTATGGGTAGTTCTGGTCATCCCATCTCAAAAAAGATATGTTGGAATTGGAAAAAGTACAGAGAACGCAACAAAAATGATTAGGGCTGTGGAACAGCTGCCATATGAGGAGAGATTAAAAAGATTGGGACTGTTCAGTTTAGAAAAGATGACTAAGGGCATAGGTGCCTACTTCCCTTCTGCCCGGTAGGTGCTTGCCCCCCCCCCCGTTCCCAGCCCCACCTCTTCCCACTCCTGCTCCGCTTTCGCCCCACCTCCATTCCACCCCTTCCCTAAAGTCCACGCATTCTTTTTGTCCCACATCCTTTTGCTTAAATGATGTGGGACAAAAAGAGGAAGGCAATTTCATCCCTCCGGTAATTGAGCTGGAGCCTAAATTACACCAAAGATTAATCTGGCCCACTGTGTGAAAATAATCCTTGACTGTGAACATGCTTTTCTGCTTCTTCAATGCCTGGCTTTCATGAGGTCCCACCACCATGCATAGGTGCCAACTTCTCCTGGCACCAGTGGGTGCTTGACCCCCCCTTCCCCAACTCCACCCCAGCCCTGCCCCCTCTTGCCCCTGCCCCGCCCCCATTCCAACCCCTTCCCCAAAGTCCCCACCCCAACTTTGCCCCCTCCCTGCCCTATTGGACCCCTTCCCCAAATCCTCGCCCCGGCCCCGCCTCTTCCCTGCCTCCTTCCCTGAGCGCACTGCATTCCCACTCCTCCCCCCTCCTGCCCATGGCTTGTTACACCACAAAAAAGCTGTTTTGTGGCTGGGAGGAGAAGTGGAGACGCAGAGTGCTCGGGGCAGAGGCGGAGATGAGCTGGGATGGGGAGCTTGGCTGCCAGTGGGTGCAGAGCACCCACCAATATTTCCATGTGGGTGTTCCAGCCCCGGATCACCCATGGAGTCGGCGCCTATGCCATCATGAGTGTATAAACAGGGAGAGGCAAGATTTTATTTAAATGCTGTAAATATCCAATAGAGCTGACAATATATGTCAAAATGAAGAAATATGTACCAAGATTGTGCCTTGGTAGATGGAACTGCAGGGTATTAATAATGTAAAATAGATTTAAAAGGCATTTTGTGTAGATTTATTAAACAATTCTCCTGTTAATTAAATGATCAAAATCAAGAAAGGCTTCACAGTGAACAGGGTTTTTTTAAGAACAAAAGAGCCTATCAAATTATACAAGGGGTTATCTAAAATGTATTGCCATGTACTCAGTGTGCCTGGAACAGGCGATCTGTGGAAAAGTAGCTTAAAATAGGAAAGCACTATGGGGGAGAGAAGAGGCAAATTCTCCAGCTATAGTTTATACTCTTTAGAAAATTCTTTCAACAGTTTCCAGCGTATTTTAATATTGTTCAGTAATATTTATCACTGAATTTCCATCATCATTTAAAGAACTCTAAATGTAGAGTCTGAAACAAAGCAGTGGCTTGTTTAGCAAATAACAGAGATTGTGAATTTATGTCAGCCTGGCATACAGTTTATAAAATAATTCTCAGCTAGCAGGCTTGTGTATGAAAGCTATTGTAAATCAAACTTTTCTTCCAAGGGCACCTAGCTGAACTGATTTTTTCTGTAATGGTTTATGGCTAGATATAATGTTTCAAGGAACACTGCCATCCTAAAATCCATATGTTACAAACAAACAAATGTCTTTACCTGTATGGTGGGTGGTATTTCTATTGATATCAATGAGCTCTGGAGCAGGCCAAGATTAGTGAAGTGAATTATTATAAAAATCCAGTTTCCAGGTTGTCTTTCATGGGCTTGTTTTCTTTTTGCATTTCTCTCAACTTGGATAATGAATCAGTGAAATAAAATTAATCTCCAGGTTTTTAGTTCTGCAGTGTTTGGGTTAGAAACATTGTAGGGGGATGTGGGCTTATTTAAAGAGAACTGTCTTCATTGGAATTTTTTTAAAACTGAAAAAAAACATTTCTATTTGCCTTAGATTTAATAAAATCTTAGGCCAAATTTATTTTGACCATATCACTAATATAACTACAAGAAAATATTAACTTTCTTTAAATAAAATAATAATACCCTACCACCATCCCCTGAGCACTGAAGAACTTGTCCCTTAATTCCTCATGAAGACAAAACTTCTATTCATGTCAATGAGAATTCTGGCAGTATATAAATTGCTGGGTTGGCCCATCAGTAGTATAGACGGGTATCTTATGTAGCAGTAACATATTTGCATGTATTTTTTCTGCATTTCCTTAAATATGATCAGATCAATTCACAATTTTATTAATGTTTGTGCAGGGCTTTGAAAATACTATATAAATGCAAAATGATATTATTGTTTGTAGGCTGCTTGCCCGTTTATTCCCCAAATCTGGAGTGTTGACACTGAGATACCTATTTTCAGGTCTGCAGGATCCAGGCCAAAGCTGAGAGTCTAAAAATTAAGGAGATCTAAATATTTTTTCCCTCTCATTGTGCTAAATAGCATTGACTTTTTCAATTTGAGACTTTAGGGCCCAAACCTGCAGGTTGACGAGGACCTTCCAGAAATCACTGGGAGCTGGGCTGAGTTGCTCACAGAATTGGGCCATTTGACTGTAAGTACAAATATGACATGTCATGGAGAAATCATGACCCAGGGATGTATCAAACTGTCTGACAACTATTCAGACACTAATGAATTCTCAGTTGTTGGTTTCTTGTTTAATTTTGATAAGCTAGCCTTTGA